GTCTTTCGGTTCCTCGCCATGCCTCACCTACATTCCCTTTGTCCGTTCTGCGTGCCCCCACGATCGCCTCGTCTGGACCTGTCTCTGTACACCTGTGTAATTCCCTGACCCACTGTGACGCAGCTGTGCGGCGCGACCCCCTGTGTCCGTGTGGTGTGTCCGCCGTCTGCTGACTGTGTCTGCCCCTCTCTGTCCACAGCACGCCGCCAGCAGCCGGCCGTCCTTTGCCGAGCTGGTGCGGAGGCTGGAGGTGCTACTGGCGATACTGAGACCCCAGGCGGACGCAGCACGCCGGCCCATCCCCGCAGCCGCACCCACTACCCGTACGTTCTCAAATGGTTTCACACTGTCACCTATCGTAGAGAGGATTAGGCACTACGAGAGTTTGAGTTGGGATTTTCTGCAGTACTGTGCTGACATTGTTGGATCTCGGAGTCGGAGTAGTCGGTAAATGCTGAATGATCCTGCAGATCTCGGTGTCATGCTCCGCGAAGTGTTTGTTCGATGCTCAGAGCGCTCACTCACGGTTATCTAACGAGTGGGACGATACGTGAGACGACCCTGGGTCGTGTTTTTGCACTCTGATGATCACTGTGACACTCAGAAAACGCTGACCTATCGTTTCTTATACCTATCGCTCATCGATAAGCTCATTAAGGTGCTGGTTCTTTCTCCTTGTCTTTTTATGCGATTTTGAACGAGCATATCACGCATCACGGAACAACAAACGTTGGCCAATCCCCGAATGGGTAGCGTTAATTTCTGGCCAGAAATATTTACAATGATTTTCGGCATTACCTGACGGTGCAGTCTTCTTTGTTGTTGCTTTTGTAACCGCAGCTCGAAGAATATCAAGCCTCGTGTGCTATCGTGATCTTGAGCATTGAGCAACCCACTATTGCTTTATTACCCCTGAACCCACTAGCTCACCACGCCATAAGTGTCGTTTTGCACCACCCTCATGTGCCACGGGTCCATGAACCACTAGTTCCCCGTGTCCCCGCTGACGGCTGGTGGCGCTGCTGTCTCCGCAGACTGGCGCTGCTCGCGGGAGGACCGGCTGGCTCACCAGCTGCTGAGCGAGGCCTGCTCTCCGAGTGACAAGGCGCGCCTCCACCGGCGGCCGTGGCGGCGCCAGGAGACCCTGCGGCGCCGGCCGGCCACCGGTCCGCTGGCCGTCGCCCGGAAGATGGCGGCACGCGACCCCGCCTACCGGCCCGGCGACACCACCAGTCCGTTCGCCACGCTGCAGCGTTACCGGCAGAGCCGCCGCGCGCCGCCGCCCGTCTGCGCCGACATCTACAGCTCGTGTCTGGAGCTGGCGTGGCCCGGTGGCGCGGCGGCGGCCCCGGAGCCGGTCCTGGCGCCCCGCGTCGGCTGCCACAGCCTGCCGGCCAGTCCGGTGTGCGGCCGCCGGGCCGACTGCGACCGGCCGCCGCCCGCCCTCACCCTCACCGAGGCGCCGGCGCTGCGCCGACTGGCCTCCTGCGAGTCGGGCTTCTACAGCAGCGTCGGCGAGGGCGAGCGGGCGTCAGTGTCCGACCTGTCTCCGGCCTCGCTGCGGTCGGCCTGTAGCCACGACGACGCCTCGCTGGCCACGCTGGCCTCCTCCGTGTACACGGGCTCCTCGGACGACGTCAGCAGTCTGGGCTGCGACTCCGAGGGCCGCCCGGAGCGCTCCAGCGAGCGCTCCGCCACCGACTTCCGCCGCATCCTGGCCTACTTCGAGCGCAGCGGCGCCAGCGGCCGGACGCTGCGGCTGAGTTTGGGCTGCCGGCAGCGGACCGCCGATCGGCTGAGCCTGGAGCGGGCCCGGCTGCGGCTGCAGCGTGCCGAGCGCGCCCTGGTGCCCGACCGGCTGGTGGCCGACTGCCGGCGCCTCTTCGACAGCAGCGCCGAGGACCCCGCGCCGGCCGCAGGACAGAGGGCCAGGCCGCTGCCGCGCGTCCCCGTCTCCGAGGGGATCGTGCGCGACAAGCGGACGGTTTTTGAGAAGAGCACGGGCGCGCCGCGGGCGCCCGTGTGAGCCGGCCGGGGCGAGGTGGTGTGGTACTGGTGACTCCCGTTTGGTCTGTGATGGTACGAGTGAGTACAAACGGCGCCGGGAAACCGTCAGTCCGGCGTGTGTGCTCTGCAAGTTACCAATGGTGAGCTTTTGGTCGCCCAAGACAGGAATGTGACTTAATTAATCGTATTGTAAGTTGTGCACGATAACCCGAGCTTACTTATCGTGTGAGACTATTGTGGCCATGATAGACGTCCGTCCCTTGTTATTTATCTCCGGGTTTGGCGCTGTTCATCAGTGAGGTGTCAGTTCTTCCTGCCAGTGTCGTGCTGTTAGTGCTTGTAACCTTTGTCTGACCCACTATCAGCTAGTCTAATGTCGGCAGTAGCCTTGAGACCGGCCTCGATGGCCTCTGAAAGGCCGTCGTGGTGAAGGGGGCGACACCTATAGGAACGTTTGGCCGGCCAGCAGCGCCATCTGTTCCGAGTAGTGAGCCAGTTTCGCGTTGGCAAGGCTGTCTGTTCCGCGGTAATCGTTATTTGAACGGACAGAGTAAGTAGATGGGCTTTCATGTGACTTAGTGCTCAACGAACGCGGGGTTTGCGCCCCCCCCTTCAGGTGCCTCGATTGACGACCTATCGGAGCGGTGTTCGGTCCGATCGCAGGTCCGGATATATCAGTACTTATAAGTGCTCGGTCCCCATGCCAAAGCTGCGATTAATATTGTGTGAGAGTTGTGTGAGTGATGTCCTCGAGCATAAGAGATGCTTGTTTTGATCTTCCTGACAGAATGCGAGTATGTTAACCGATTGAGTCACCCAAGAGTGTAAACGTGGCTAATATGTAGTTACCATGTTGTGATAGAAGCAAATGAACTACATGAAATAGAAGATGGGATATTATTTTTGCGTGGTCAGTTGTTGATGACTCGATTTATAAAGACTGTGTTGATGGTGGTTTTGTGTTTACTTTGAAGATGCATCGTAAATACACGTGAAAACTTCGCTATGGTTTTAAGGGATTTTAAGGACGGCTCAGCTATAGGGATGATCTGCCGCAGTTATTTAATTCGTTCTATTTCGATTGTATCTGACCGAATGCCACACATACCTGGCACTTGCCGAAGATACATGAACAAAGAAAACAAGCATTTTAAACAGATGACAACACAAAACACTACAAAATTCATTAGTGACGCTAAATTGTTTGCTTACGGAAGTGCGGTAAAGACCGGGGTGATTGTGCGAAATGGTAGTTTGGTCGTTATCCTGTTTACGATGCTTGGCGCTAAGGCACCACACAAGCGTTCTGGAAAGGACGTTACATCATACTATGGACATGAGCCAAGGTTTACAACCTCAATGCGCTATATTAATTTCACTGACCCTCTATTCCTTTGCATTAAGTATACTTGGCCTATAGAATAGTAACCAACTGTGAGACTGGCAGACGAGCGGAAGGAACCAACAAAGTGTATAAGTTTCATTTATTTACCAACAGACCACAAGCGACATAAATATAATCTGATGAATAAACGTGCAAGTAGTTAATAAACACGGGCCTGTTGCTAACGAGCATGTCCTCAAATGATAACGCTAACAGTTCGAAATCCGGGCTTATTGTATACCGTTTCTCGGTTGTTACTGAATGCATCGTCAACACCTGTAAACATGAACACCATTCTCACTTTTTCTTCGGCGGCAGTGAAGTTTCCACGCTTGAGGCCTGAGGGGCAGTGTGGACGTGGATATCGGGCCGAGGTCAGATCCTTCTGCCGTTCATCTCCGCGCCACCTCTCGATACCTATGCGAGTATGCGGCGGTCGCCGATGAGGGGACGGGCCGTGTCGATGCGCCGTGGTCACTGACCGCTCTCATCAGGTGGACGGACCGTCGTCGCCAGAGGCGGCGGCGGCGGCGGCGGCGCGCGAGCGGCCGGTGCGTCGACATGTTTTTATTGACGCCACGACAAAAACGCGACCGGGCACAAAACACGGCCGACGCGGCGCACAGACAAAAACGGCGCAGCTGACGGCGCGCGGCGGCGGCGGCGCAGTATGTTCATCTACTGACAGGTCAGGTCTGGTTGCAGTCGGACCGGGCCCGAGGAAAAGTAGGTCTCGGTGTGACGGACAAAAAGACACGGCCGTCAGCGGTGAGCCGCGCCGGATGACCTCGATTGCCAACGGCCCAGTTGCAATCGGTGACTGCGTTGCACGGAGCAAACAAAAACAACAGAAAATGGTTTTGATGAGCATCGAAAGAATATGACCGATAAAATAAGTTCTGGAAATCAAGCTACTGATGCTCGAAGTTATCCAGGTAACTATAAATAGCAACTAACGAAAATCACTGAAGCAGTGATGAATCAAATCAGAGAAGCACCTACAAGCGCACCAGATGATAATCTTCCTAATGAGCATGCGGACGGTGATGGCCTCGCTATAAAAGCAATCGATGATAGAACACACGGCATCTCGTATTTATTGATGCGAGCGAGTGGGCTTCTGAGACCGAGCAAATCGAAACGGAACAAACAGAAGTAGGCATACGGAGTCGCACCACGGCTGATGACACGGTAGGCATTCGACAATAACTGAGGATATTTACTGGCAAATGGCAATGTCATCATTCTTCTTTCTGGAGACCTATGGCAGACGTAAGATACCGAGTAATAACCCCATCGATCTTATGGACCGTGCGAGCGAGGGAGAGGGTGCCTGAGAGGGCGAGAAAGAGGGAGTAAGAAAGAGACACTGAGACAGAGATGCAAGTCTAGCAGGAAGGTATGTTTTTTGTAAGGGTTGGGGTTGGGGGGTGAAGAGGATAACTGTACCCACCTCAAGACATGGCTACCGGTCGGCCGGTCGGTGTCCGCCCGCGGTCACCGGCCGGTGACCTGCAGAGATCGGTCGGAGCGGTAGGAGCTGTCCCTAGCCCGGGGGCACTGACCGGGCGGGCCGCCAGAGGAGCAGGAACGGGACGGCCGCAGACCGGCCTTGACCCGCGCGGGGTGTGTGTCGCGGCGATGCGTTGTGAATTGCAAGTGTTCGGTGCCGTATAATTGCTTTAGATTCATGTTATTTATCAATCCTTGCATCATATTCATTTATGTCTAAATTTCTGTCTGCATAAAGGAATCTGAAATCATCCCAGTGTGTATAACAATAATACCTATATCAGTTAAATGTCGATCAAGACGTTTATTTAAACGTCTGCGTAAGTGTCCGTTGTAAACGTCTATTGAACCGATTGAACCGTATATTGAACCGTATGTTGAACCGTCTATTGAACCTCTATTGAAGAGGCTATTAAACGGGCTATTGAACATGTTATTGAACCGTCTATTTGACCGTCTACTTAACGTCTATTAACTGGCGATTAACATGCCTATAGAAACGGTCAATTAAATCACCTATTGAACCGCCTATTAAGAGGTCTATTATAACGTTTATTAGAACGCTTATAAGAGCGTTTATGAGGACGTCCATAAGAACGCCTATAGAAACGTCCATAAGAACATTTATTAGAACGTTTATTAAAACGTTTATTAAAACGTTTATTAAAACGTTTATTAAAACGTTTATTAAAACGTTTATTAAAACGTTTATTAAAACGTTTATTAAAACGTTTATTAAAACGTTTATTAAACGTTTATTAAAACGTTTATTAAAACGTTTATTAAAACGTTTATTAAAACGTTTATTGAAACGTTTATTGAAACGTTTATTGAAACGTTTATTAAAACGTTTATTGAAACGTTTGGTAGGACGGTTATTAGAACGCTTATTTCGACGCTTATTAATGAGTGTACTGTCACATCAATGAAAGCTTGATTAGCCATAATGACTATCAAAAATATTCAAACGTCCTGCTTAGGCGTTGAGCCTGTTTATGCGCTAGTACGAAACATTTTTTAAACGTCTGTTTAAAGGGACCCTCCCACCTTCAAAAAAGTTAATGAATTGGCATGAAAGTGATGTCGCTCGGTTCAGAAAGAGCAAAAACGAATATCTACCAAATTTCATCGAAAAATATTCACCGGTTTTCAAGATATTAGACTTTTACTTTTGTTTACTTTTTGGGATCTCCGCTGTTCCTAGCGACTTTATTTGAAAGTGCGGCATTTGTTGCGCGCAAAGCAGCATATACCACCGCGTGCTACAAAACGTTTTAGTCAAACATTTAACGGACGTTCGAAAGCCTGATGACGTCATCAGATTCCCGTAATGGTTAAGAGATAGGGACCACGCTGGTCCCACCCTGCAAGTAAAGGGAAGAAATTTCTTGAACACCATGAAGCTGCGGGGGTTGCGACCAGGATAAATGGTGGTTTCTGAGCCTGGCCGCAAACTTGGCTATCTCAACTCAAAACTAATGTTAAGGTGGGAGGGTCCCTTTAAGCACTTATCAAAACATCTTAAACGTCTATTGAAAGTTATCGAAACACTTCTATCAAAGCACGATATCAAAGTAAATCGTAGTCTTGTATAACTCATTACGTCAGGTAAATGCGTAACCGTTCATTGCGCTACAATGCCAATGCGTTCTTCCGTTACAACTTTTTCCGTTTCACTGCTTCCCTTTTACTGTAACATTTGTTTTGCCGTCCGGGGCGTGTTAATAAGTTGAATCCCCAGACACTGCTTAGGTAGTGACTAGCAAATAACAATAACAGATTGAGATTATCGGTTTCTCCTCCAAGAGTTTATCCGAAGTCCGAACAACCCCTCTCTTATGCGATATCACCGGCCTACTGTCATGCAAGGTTGGCGGTTCACCCCGCTTGCTACAGGGAACGGCACTCGTTCCAGCCCTCGTCCCAGAGAGGACCACACCGCGCCCTACCCTCGTTCTGTCCGCTGTCCTGTCACTTCCCGTCCGTGTCCCAGCCCGCCGGTCTCCGCGCTCCATCCCGCTGCTCCCATGTCTCATCCCGTTGGCCCCTCATTCCAGTCCGCCGTCCCAAGATTCGCCGGGCCCCGTCCCAGCCTCCCGTTCCAGCTGCTTGGTGACTTGCTGAAGACATCAAAAGTCAAAACCACATTCGGCGCCCACCGAGACAGGTCATTCCTTGATAGGATTAGTTGAAGGATCGCTGTCTCGGTATATCTAGTTGGGTTGGCCCGCTATCTCAACCGTTTGGTGTGGGAAAGGCATTTTAGAGAATTACGGAAAAAATACCTTCAAGAAATAACTTCATATGGCAGCACTCTCATTGATTGTGCTGCCACCTGTATGTTGTCTTCCGGGCTCATTTACAACACGAACAGCGGTGGTGGAGGTTGTGTTGGGTTCGTGCTTGCTTTTGAGGAATTGTGCGGGTTCTGTGCCTGTGTTTGGTGTCTCATAGTCAGTTACCTAATTCGAGGAGTGAACTATCAGAGGTAACGTATTCCAGAGTGAGAAACGCAATTTGAATTAGAGGAATGTTTGAATGGGTCAGGTTCAGTTTTAGTTTCCTGAATTCAGAAATTCCCTGAGTATCTTTTTTCTGTTGATCAATGTAAGGACGGTAAGGACTTTTGTACCGATCATCATTTGAAAAATGTCTTCAATTCTTAACCCTTAAGCTGACTCACAATTTGAGTTAAGAGATACCACAGTTTGAGTTCCATTCACATTTTGTTTTTTTCATGTTTTTACATTAAATGTTTTCTTGAATATTTGTGTGTTTCAGGAAGATGATAACTCTAATTAACTAATGCACATTGTTTTATGATTTTCAGACATCTCAACTTCACGCAATGGCAATGGAGAGTCCGGAGCGGCAGAAGATCAAAGCAATTCTTCCTCCTGCAAAGGAATGCACACACACCTTACACTATTGGTAAGATTGCAATCAGGCACCCATGTCCTTCCATGTTTCAATGCCAATTATTGGATGAGCATTTTATTTTGAAGTTAACTGTAAGTCATACTTGACGTTAGCTTCAAGCTTGGTGACATTAGGTATATGACAGAACCTTTAAGCTTGTGACTATTCTGGATGCTTGCAAAAAAGTACTATACTAATTTGGTGTGAGTATCAGCCATACTGTATTTGTATTTCCAGATTGAAACTCTGGGCATGTTTTTACTCCCCCAAATGAATGATTGCCAGCCTTGTCTCTGGGCCTCTGAGGTGTCTACTAATTATCTGTAAGGTTCATCACAAGCATATTTAATCATGGTGATGTTTCGTAATTTCCTACTTTTAATCAACTGTGCCATGGGCAGACCATGGTGTCTGATGTGTATGAACTACGACACAATTAGATTTAACACGCCGGACACCGTCGGTGACAGGCACACACCAACCTCTGACCCCCCACCCCTTTCCTGTTTCCCGCACAGTGAGGAGAACGTGTGGCTGCTGTGCCAACACGTGCAGGACAAGTACCCGCAGGAGCTGCCCTACTGCTACGCGGTGTTCATCTCCAACCAGAACCAGACGGTGCCGCTGTGGAGGCAGCGCGCCGGACGCACAGAGGACCGCGTCGTCATCTGGGTAGGTCACGACGATAACATCACGGGACGGGTCGCCACGGGTCGTCATCGGGGGAGGTCACGAGACTACACCGACAGCATCACGGGTCGCCACCTGGGTAGGTCGCTGCCGGTAGCGACAGCACCACGGGTCGGGCCGTCTTTTGTCGTAATTGAGAGAGGTTTTGGTGAATTTTTGGAAACTGCTGAACACCGTATGCATACTACTGTTCGCCTCCTTGCTTAGGCCGCAGCAATACACATTCCTAATAGGTATCTGGGATATTATCTGTGTAGGTGTTGGTGGCCACCGAACACCACAGTTAGGGTCGCGGCCGTTTGGGTAGGTCATGGCCGTTCGTCCAGACGATCCATTATACAAACGGAGGAGGAAAACGGAGGGGAATGAGGATTTGTGAATAGAAAACGGTACTCATTGATTTACAAATTCGCGGATGTCTGGTATCTTGGTGGGATGCTATTTATGTTGATTTCCCAGAACCGCTGAGAACAGGCTCACCAAGCTCTTGTTCCCGGTTTTTTAGGGTCTAGTAGGGCCGGTGGTTATCGCTTATACACTACCACGGTTGACAGTGGCACCGAATGGTGTCCGTTTTATTCAAAATTCGGCCATGGACTTTGCCTTCGTTCTGAGCCAGCATAAAAAATTCGCAGAGAATTGAGAAGATTTTGCTCATTTTCTGTCCTTGTTCCTGTCGCCCCGGTTTTGTGATCAGTGAGACCCTCTCTAATCATCGCCAGGTAATATTTTCCGCCAGGTTCTGGCATATTTTCTTTGTTTATTTTGCTATTTTGTATCATCATCATCATCATCATCATTTATTCTTATGTCCATCCATGGTAAATGGCTTTTCGGGACAAGTGTCAAAGTACATACAAAGATAAAATACACATACGAAAGCTAAAAGTAACACTAAAATGCACAACACCCATACGGAAGCACAAAGTATATGTTTGAAGACACATTAGTGACACATTCATATCAGTCGCGTTCCCTCAGCCAGTCTCTCGCTCTTTTGCGACACAGCGCTGCTGAGCGAGCCCCTGTCACACCGGCAGGGGCGCGATTCCATTGGGCGGGCGCGCGGGAAAAGAAAAACTTCCGCGCATGTTCACTGTTTACCCTGGGAATCTGCAGGCGCACCAGCCACAGCGGCTCTGGTGTCCCGGGTGGAGACATCGGATCGGTGCACAATGCCCTGGGTTACGTTGGACGGCGCTTGAGGGTGATAAAGCAAATAATGCACCTGTGCAACATCACGCTCAGTGATCATTGAGTCAATGGATGGCCAGTTCAGGTCTGCCATCAGTGGTGATACATGGGCAGACCGTCTGGTGCCCTTCACCACCTGCGCACAGTGGTTGATAACCTTTTGTAAACGGTGGCGCTGGATCTTGGTACACCCGGCCCACACCGTGGAACAATACGAAATGTGTGGAAAGATCAGCGTTTCTACTATCATTTTTTTCACCATCTCGGGCAATTTGCCGGTCATTTTTGAGAGACCACCGAGTGTGGCATAGCAGCGCCGCACCACGCTTGAGACGTGAGCTTCGAATGTGAGTCCTCCGTCTACTGTCATCCCCAACACTTTGACTGTTGGAGAAGGTTTGATAGTTGCATTGCCAAAACGAACAGATAATTGAGACGGAGATCGTCTTCTGGTAGATTTGATAAGAGTTATATCAGTTTTGTTGGGATTGATTTTCAAACA